AAAAAAAGCCCAAGAACTCACCTTGTTCATGCAACTGCCGCACGGCCACGAGGCGCTGCACCACCTCAGGTAGGGTGCTAGCCAGGGGGCTCCACTCCTGCACAAGTGCATACAGCTGATGGACCTGGAAAGAGAGAGAGAGAGATAGGAATCTCATGAGCAAGGAGAGAAGTGGAGTGACGATCTGGCCCTGGCCTTGACTTTCTGAAACGCCACACCACCTTGGTGAACAAATGCATGTGTGCATACCTGGGAGAAAGTTGGCCCTCAAATCTCATGATCTGGTTGCAGAGGTGGTATTCACTTACCTTCTCTACCAGTTCACAAATGTGAGCCCGTGTGCAGGCGCTCAGGCTTCCACGCATGCGCTTTGGCTAAAAAAGGGGGCCTAATGGGATGACATAGAGCTGGGGCAGGTGGGCGAGGCCAGCCGCGATTTCCACTACCAGTTCGGGCAAACCGGCAGAATACGACCACTGTCTGGTTGGCACTAATCAATTATTAACCAACCATTAACCAACCTACATGTACAGGTAGTCCTTGAGTTACGACCACAATTGAGCCCAAGATTTCTGTTGCTAAGTGAAACAATTGTTAAGTGAGCTTGCCTCATGTTATGACTTTTCTTGCCACAGTTGTTGAGTGAATCACTGTGTTTGTTAAATTAGTATCATCATGGTCGTTAGGTGAATCTAGCTGTCCCATTGACTTTGCTTGCCAGAAAGTCTCAAAAGGGGGTCAGGTGACCTCAGGACACGGCAACCGTCATAAATACGAAGCAGTTGCCAAGCATCGGGATTTTTTTTCAAAACAGTTTTTTATTTTAATTCTTCATACATACATTCACAAATATACATTCTCATAGTTATTATTAATATCGTGTGTATAGCTTTTAACCTTTATAGCAATTCTTTTCTCCATCTAAAGATTTGAATATATAATCGGGACTTCTCTATCTGCCATTCCATACATCCATCTTCTTTTACCACAACCTTCCTTCCCTACCCTTTTCTCCTTCCCTCCCTTCTTCTCTACTTTCTTCTTTCCTCCTCTCTTTTCCCTTTTCTTCTTCCCCTTCCTCTCCCCCACTCCTCCCCTCTTCTTCCCCTTCCTCTCCCCACTCCTCCCCTCTTCTTCCCCTTCCTCTTCCCCACTCCTCCCCTCTTCTTCCCCTTCTTCCCTCCCACTCCTCCCCTCTTCTTCCCCTTCCTCTCCTCACTCCTTCCCTCTTCTTTCCCTTCCTCTTCCCCACTCCTCCCCTCTTCCCTACTCCTCCCCTCTTCTTCCCCTTCCTCTCTGCTGCCAAGCACCTGGATTTTGATTACATGACCATGGGGGGGGGGGAGATGTTGCAACGGTCGTGTGAAAAAAAAGTTGTATGTCACTTTTTTCAGTGCTGTCATTAACTTTGAACAGTCACTAAACAAACTGTTGTAAGTCGAGGACTATCTGTAGTTAGTGCATAAATCAGCTCTAGTGCAGGCTGAACAGTCTTCTTGCTCAGTCAGTGCTCTAGTTCAGTGTTTCCCAACCTTGGCTACTTGAAGATGTTTGGACTTCAACTCCCAGAATTCCCCAGCCAGCGAATGCTGGCTGGGGAATTCTGGGAGTTG